TGTGGGAATGAAATCAGAAGCCAGCCTAGACTTTCACTAAATGGGGAAGCGGAATGCAGGCAAAATAAGGGGAATACAGCATGAGTTAGAAGCACTCCAGAAAAATGTTACTACACAATGATGATCATAACTTTGTCTCTGCCTGGCTTTGCTATTTATGGCCAAGATGATTCTCATATTCATCTATCAGCCAAATAGTGTGATATATTTGTGCTTAGTGGGAGTTTTCTGAATCTGTGATCTTCCCAAGAGCAACTGGGTTTTCTTCTTTAAATCATTCAAAATTGCTTTAGTCATTCTAGTGTCAGTTTATATCTCAAAATCTAAGCAAAGAGAAAGACTTTTTATTACTGAAAGTTATACGGAAGCTCCAAGAATTTGTGTTTTCATTGTGATAAATTATAAACACAGTGGGCAAATTCTCACATCAAATGAAGATAAAATATACATCACTTTAAAAAATATTTTCTAGATGGAAAATGTGTCAATATGATTTTGCTGTCATATTATAAACTCCTCTGGGAGTGTGTTATTCACAGTCTTCCTGGTAAAGATATCTTTTCTTTTTTGTCAAATAGGAAATGTGTTTATTTCCAAACAAGAATGCACTCCTTTACTATATTTGTGACATTACAAGCAAATCAGTTATATAATATACAGAACAACACTTTGTGTTTTAGCTGATAACATATTTCATGGTTTTGTAAGTTCTCAAATATTTTTAATAATTGTTATAAATAGGCTCTTTTTATGTAATACAGCATTCTATATTACAATTCTGCAATTTTTAGAGTAGTGAAGTCTAAATAAAAGTAATTTCTTAGGTTTTAAAGAATATGATTGCATAAGAAAGTCCAAGAAGCAACAGTATGCATTTATTTTTAACTATTAATTAGTTGGCAATATTAATATGATCTTTGGTCCAAGGGCTTCTCAGGTGGTGCTAGTGGTAAAAAGTCCACCTGCCATTGAGGAGATATAGAGATACGGGTTCAGTTCCTGGATCAGGAAGATCCCCTGGAGGAGGTCATGGCAACCTACTCCAATATTTTTACCTGGAGAATCCCACCAACAGAGGAGCCTGGCACACTACAGTCCATAGGGTTGCAGAGTCAGACACAACTGAAGCAACTTCGCACGCATGCATAATAGAGATCATGGAATTTTACCTTGCTTGCCAACAACCAGCAGGGAAAATCGTTATTCTGCATTCTCAGTCCTCTGGTTCAGGGAGCTAGGAAGTTATCAATGTTTGCTTGTTTTGATAATGAAAATTAGGTAGTTTGTATCTGTTAATGGTTTGCTCTTCTAAGTAACTAAATAGTGTATTTTTTATACTTTTGTTTTGACTTTAGTTTTACTTTGGTTTTAATTACTGAAAATGGGACTCATGCCCAGAAATTCACCAAGTAAAACTTAGCTTTTAAATATAATGTTTAACTTGTAACTGCAGGCTTTGTAGGTATAAATAAGATTATCTTATGGGATTAGGTGATTTTTTAAATACTACCATACCCTGCTTTTTCATGCTTCTCATCTCATTCACTAGCAACTACAGAGCTGCAGACTATGTCAGACTTTTGAGAATTTCTATTTTTATTGTATAGAAGAAGAGATGATTGGATGAAAGTTTTCATGCATGAGCCCTCTAAAGAGAAAAGCATGATAGTATTAAGTGACATATTTTAACTGTAATTCTATCTGGAGTATCTATTAATTTTCTCTCCTTCCATTAACCTTACATTAGGATATTCATTTACATTCTCTAAATTAAGAGAATCATGTGGTGAATGTTCCTGCATAGCCTATAAATCAGGAGACCTGAGTCTGGGCCCTACTCTGTATGGGACTTAGATGTGGTGTGGCCCTTAACATAAAACTAACCTTTTTGTTTTTTCATCAACATGAAAGTATATGTTTTCACATTTAGAGAGGCAAAATAATATAGAGATTAAGAATGTGTACTTTGGAGACAGAAACCTAGTTGGCACATCTGAAATACCCCAAAGAGGGCAAAATATATAGTAGCAATCCAAAGATAGTAGTCATATTAACAGCAAACTAAACTTAGAGAGATAACATAAAGAGCCTTAAACGTTATTTTTAAGGAGATGGGGAAATCAATTGTCTCCATAGATCTAATTTAGTTTTTTTTCCTTTTTCTGTTGGATCATTTTGTTTCCATTATGCAAATAATACATGTTTTCCTGCCTTCACAGCTGGCAGTAAAAATTAGCAGCATATGAGTTGAATGTAAAATAAAATCTTTCATTATTATATAGTTTGCTTTTTCTTTTCCCCTCACCATCTATAAATTGTGTATGTGTATGAAATGTGTTACTTTTCATAGCATTACTAGTGTGTCCAGGATATAACATAACGACTTTCAGAACAATTAGAAACAAAATAAAAGGAGAGAGAAAACGTCTCTTCAAATGCCTTGTTCAAAATGACTTCTGTGTATGAACTGTTCCTGCTTCAATCAGATCAAGGTCATTGGGTTGGAACCCCATATGGACCAATTAGTTTCCTACAGTGAAAGGTGATATTTTCTAGTCAGGGATTATACCTTTTACCCTGGTCAGCTGTGTCCAGAAAGCCTGCTCTAAGTCACAGAGGGGATTTCTAGAACATCCAAGTCTCAGCACAAATTAATCACAACAGCTGGATACAAAAAGAATTTATCCAGGCTGGTGGTGTCAGGAACACATATAGTTATGAGAGAAGGATACAATGTTACATAAATTTAATATTGCACATTATTTCCAGTACTATTGTCTTTAATGCAGAGCAGGGGCTCATAAACATTTTATGCCCGGAAGCATTCTGGCAATCCACTCTCAGATGAAAATTTAAATACAGAAAATAAATTACATAACATTATAAAGGAAATCTAATATATTGAAATTGTTATGAAAACGGTAAAAAACAAAGAAGTTTTTCTTCTAAATCAATCTTTTATATAAGATTAACAATGGGTGTATTAATTCTCATAATTTCATAGTTAAAATTAGCATAAATGTGTTTGAAATATTTTTAATAATAATAATGTGAAGTGATTTTTTTCTGGTGCAAACTCACTGATACTACCAAACATCACTGTGATTTGTCACCTGCCCTCCAATGAATAAAATTGGTATATTACAAGAGAAAAAAGAGAAAATTATCTTCAATGGTAAGGATAAGGGTGAGGACAGAGAAGCCTGGCATGCTGAAGTCCATGGAGTTGCAAAGAGGACACAACTGAGTGACTGAACAAAGACAAAAAGAGGCCTGATATTAAACAGAGATGTGCATCAAACTGCTTATAAACTTCCATGGCCAAATGTCACTGTATCACATAGAAAAGCACTCTGAGATTTAAAAGAAAAGATTTAACTTTAACTCTTAGTTGGTTTTAAAATACTACTGCAAAAACAGGGGGAACATATCAATAAAAATTATAACAGAATTTGAATCTATTTTGAAATATATATCTAAAACACATCTCTTGGTATATGTATGCCACTAAATTATGTCAATGATTACTTCTAAAGTTTGGAGAAGATTTTATAGAGGTCAGTTGTGATAAAATTTTCCCTTATAAAATATATGTATAGACATATAGTAAGATGCTTAAAAACAAAAAAACCCAGGATGTCAAGAGTTGATGTTAAATGTTGATGTCTACCCATTTATAACATGTGTGTGGAGATTACCTAGGAAAATTTATTGGAACCGTAAATTGTCATCAATTTCTTAAACTTAATAGGAGAAAAGTTAAAAAAAAAAGTTCCCAATGCAGGAACATTTATTTTACCTGAATAACATATTTATGGTTAACTAATATTTAAATTCTACTGCTACTAAAACTAAATATTTTATTTAAATTGTCTCTGTCCTGTATAAGGGTTTTTTTGAGGACTTTCCATGGGCAAAAAATGTAGACATAATCTATTAAATTTATGCAGAATTTTGAATTATTTGGGGATTTAATTATTAGTGAGGAATAAGAAGACATGAAAAAGACAAAAATAAAAACATAGTTTTTATGAGTTATGAATCTTTGTCTTTCATTTTGTTGTTTGTTTTTTGTTTTTTTAGTGGTTTTTGTCATACATTGACATGAATCAGCCATAGATTTACATGTATTCCCCATCCCGATCCCCCCTCCCACCTCCCTCTCCACCCGATCCCTCTGGGTCTTCCCAGTGCACCAG